GAGAGAGAGAGAGAGAGAGAGAGAGAGAGAGAGAGAGAGAGAGAGAGAGAGAGCGAGAGAGAGAGCACAACATGAACTACTGTGTAGCTGTATGTTTAACTCGGGAAATTATAATTTCTAACTCATCCTGGTGACCTCAGTGAGGTTTAGGAGAGCACTCAGGCTTTCTGGAAAGCTCACACGGCATGGTTGTATGCGTGCACTGTTGGAAAGGATAAAGATCCATGCTCGATTCTGCTCACTGGTGTATCAAAGATAAGCTGTTGCAGGGGCTCTCTGAGGATCAGGAGAGAGCTAACTAATTCTGTGCTTTAATCCATCACGTGTCAGGATTTTCTCTGAGCCTTAATACTCTATCTATCGCTGTTTCAATCATATCCCGACAAATGCCAGGAAGAAGGGCAATACACGGACAGGAAAGTATTTGAGCATGCATTTGTTTCTAAGTGGCTGGAACAAGTGGAATATGATAATGGTCCTTCACTCATCTTCTGGATCCCCTTTGTGTTTATATGCTTTATGCAAAAGTATGCTTAAATCCCTGTAGGTTTCATTTGCAACTGATGGGTTGAAACTGAATATTTAAGTGTGTGCATGAGTCTTTGAGTGTAGAAACTCAACTCCACACAAGTGACTCACTGAGACTGAAGGGAAGGCTCATCCACAACCTTGTAATATGAAATAACAGCTGTGAAAAATGAAGTTCCTTGATCTTATCTACTTCTATCTGATGTAGAAGAAAAGCTGTCCTTTGATGCTTGAAAATATAAAGTAATATTCCAGTGAACAAGGTTAGATATGAAAATTAAAAGTATGTTTAAATTTTTTTTCTTTTCACTTATCTGAATCTATCAGCAGACATGGTTTTGGCCATATTGTTCCAATCTTTATATAAATAGTACATAGTACATGATTTGTAGTACATACTACACTATTATATATATATATATATGTGTGTGTGTGTGTGTGTGTGTGTGTACTACAAATGTATACAATGTATAGTATGTACTACAAATCATGTACTATGTACTATAAAGTGTACTATGGCTTACATTCTTTTCCCACTCAAAATGTTTATGACATAATATCTATACTACATCATAACTATACTCAGCATGAACAAGAGTGGAAGTGTGAATTGAGAGAAAGAAGTCACACATAAAGTCACACGTAAAGAACATTTATGTGTATTCTCTTACACAATTATTTGACTTTTAAAACTACTTTAACCTGAACCATATTATTTGAGGACACATAATTGGGTACTATAGCTAGGGTAAAACAATGGAAAAATCTCACTCAAATACTAACTAATAGTAATAGTCTGTATTTATCAGTATTTATAGGCTTGATAGGCAGATTAATGTTAAAATCTGCTAAGGAAAATCTGTTTGTTTGTTTTGTTTTGTTTGGCCTGGAACACACAGAGATCTTTCTGAATCTGTCTCTGGAGTGTTGGGATTAAAGGAATGAGCCAACATGCCTGGCTAAGTCCACTAGGTTTTTTTTTTTTAATTTTTTTCTTTTAGAAAACAGATATTTCCCATACACATAATGTAGCCAGATTAAGGTTTCCCATCCTTCTACTTCTCTCAGTACCTGCCCCTCCCCCTGCAACTCCCTTCCCATCTTCATCCACTCCCTTGCTGTCTCTAACTAGAAAACAAACAGGCTTCTAAGGGATGATAATGAAATAAAATATACTAAGGTAAGACAAAAATTAATACATCAGAATGGAACAAAACAAACAGAAGGAAACGAGCCCAAGAGAAAGCACAAAAATAAAAAACTCACTAGTTTGTACACTAAGAAATCCCATAAATGCACTAAACTGTAAGCCATAATACATATGCAGAGGAGCTGGTTCAGACCTGTGCATGCTGCTTCATCTCTGTGAGTTCATATGAACTTTGATCATGTTGATTTAGAGGGCCATGATGAGGGATATGATGGAGACATCCCATTTAGTGCTGTGTGTTCCAAGATATCTCATCTCTCTCTCTCTCTCTCTCTCTCTCTCTCTCTCTCTCTCTCTCTCTCTCTCTCTCTCTCTCTCTGTCTCTCTCTGTCTCTCTGTCTCTCTCTGTCTCTCTCTGTCTCTCTCTGTCTCTCTGTCTCTCTCTGTCTCTCTCTCTCTGTCTCTCTCTCTCTGTCT